GGGGAAGTGGCTTGGCCAGGACACCCAGGCCCAGCCTGGCCCGAGTCTTGAGCTGGAATCTTCTCCTTCACAGCTCACTTGTGTGTTTTCCACTTTCAGTTCTTCAGACACCTTACCACGATCCCTCCCCTGCAAGCCCAAAGCCTTCCTGTGCACTGGCTCTCCTGCCCTATCCAGGACACACCTCATCACTAAGGCCCTGAGAAGATGAGCCCCCATCCCCCAGGCTTGGGAGGGCCCCAGCCCTGCACCCCCACCCTGCACTCCCACCCTGCAGCCCCCAACGTGTATCCTCCAGCCTCTGTGTGCACCTCCCACGGTGCGGACCTCGCTTCCTTTCCACACGGCCACTCCATCGAGGGCCAGCCGTGCCCTACACGTAGGTGAGAAGCACCTCTGGAGGCAAAGCCGTGCCTGCCCCCCCGCCCCCCACAGTGTGTCTGCACCCTCAGCCTTGGGCAGCCCTGCTGAGTGACAGCCCCCAAGTCTGCCTTTCTCCGGGACAAATGGCCCTGAAACTGGCCTTGGGCTTGAGACCAGTTTCTAGTGATCGCCGCCCAACTCAGGTTGCCGCCTCTGGACACCCCCAACTTGCCACTGGCCCTCTACAGTCTGTCGTCATATGAGAATCAAAAAGGCCAATGTCTTTCCCTCTTCCCTGGCATGAGGCCGCTCAGTAGAAGGCCCTTGGGGTCTCAGGCTGAGCTGATGCTGGGGTTCCAGCAGCCAGGCCTTTGTCCATATGCTTCCCCTCCTCCTTCAAACCACTTTCAACCCCCAAAGACAGGGGTGCTGCCCCCCCCGGCTCCATCAGGAGGGTTGATTCCCCCACCACGGTGACTGATGATGGTCACCTCCCACTCGGGGAAGCAATGGGGACGCTGCTGTCCACCCCCACCCCCGCCTCACCTTCTTCCTCTGCTCCTTCTGCCTCTCGCGGAACTCCTCGAGGCTCCGCANCCCCGCCTCACCTTCTTCCTCTGCTCCTTCTGCCTCTCGCGGAACTCCTCGAGGCTCCGCAGCTCCTCGCGCAGGGTCAGGGCTAGCTGGATGTGTGAGCTGCCCACGTTCTCCATCTCTGGGGACAGAGCATGGATGTCAGTCCCCAACGCCAGAACTGATGGGCCTCAGCCACCCACAAAACACCCTTGCCTGGACCAGCCCAGCCCCAGCCTCCACACCTTGTCTTCTGTCACCCCCAAATCCTCCACCAGCCTCGCAGCCTGTGCAAAGCGGGGCCACAGCCTGAGCTCACCCCTCCTGGCCAGAATCCATCCACCTCCTCTATGGGGGTATGAGTTTTCCCAGGAGATCCTGTCACCCTGCAGCTTAGGGTGGGGGACAGTTGGGACTTACGCTGCTTCAAGGAATCAAAGGAGGCCCTCAGGGAGCTGCAAAACAGAAAGGTCCAGGTCAGTAGAAGGAGAGCACAGCACCGACCTGAAGTCCTGGCTGGCCCTACGGACTTTTATTTTGGTGGGAAGACCCCTGGTCACTCACACTCACTGCTCTGAAACCAAGAGACCCTCTAAGCAGATGGTGACCATACACTCGGGCCCCGAACAGGGATTTCTGGAAGGCAAAGCTCTGTCTTTGGGGATTATAAAGCAATCAAACCTGCCCACTGTGGCAGAAGAGGGAGGTATCCATGGCCCCACCTTTGCTCCTGGCTGCATACATAGAGAAGAGGGGACTGTCCTGAGGATGCTCCTTCTCTCCTTTGAACCCCACTCCTCCATAATCACAGCCCTGTCGCCTCCTCTTCAGGTACCCAAAGCCCCCAGGATGAGTTTGAAGCAGGGGAGGGCAGCGTGCAGACCCGGCTTTCAGCAGGGCTCCTGGAGGATGTTTGGAGGAAACTAAATGAGAGGCTGGAGCCACGATGCGGGAGGGACCCAGGAAGCGAGAGATGTGGGCACTGTCTGCTCCAGGGAGGGCCCCAGGGTGGGCACCAGGGAAAGACGCTGGCACCCGGCATGGGAGTCAGGGATGACACCTGAGGTATAGAGTTACCAGACTGAGCAAATAATATTATGGGACACCCAGTTCAATTTGAATTTTAGATAAACAATGAATATATATATTTCAAAGATGACCAGTAAGGGGATCTCAACCCTTGGCTTGGTGTTGTCAGCACCACGCTCAGCCAGTGAGCGAACCGGCCATCCCTATATGGGATCCGAACCCGGGGCCTTGGTGTTATCAGCACCGCACTCTCCTGAGTGAGCCACGGGCCGGCCCAACAATGAATATTTTTTGAGTATAAGTATGCCACGTTATATTTGGAGCATACTTCCATTTTTATAGTATTTGCTGTTTATCTGAAATTCAAATTTAACTGAGCATCCTGTATTTTATCAGGCAACCCTACTGAGGGGGCTCTCCCTCAAAGCCACAAGTGGCATTGAGGACCCAGTCCTGTCTGCTGAAGGGTAATGGGACACCATGAGGAAGACGGGTCCCGGAGCAGAAACGGGACCAAGGGGTGCCTCTCAGAGGACTGAGCTCCCCGCCCTGGGGAGGAGGGAGGTGGCATGGAAGCCCAGCCTAGGACAGCAGCAGGGCCTGGGCAGGGGCTTCTTCCTGCTCTGGATTCCTGCGTTAGAAGCAGACCCTGGGGCCAGCTGGCCTGGGTTCAATCCAAGGCTCTGCCACTCACTTGCTGTGTGACTGTGAACAAGTTAGGTCACCTTTCTCAGTTCCCCCTTCTGAAAAATGTGGATGCTAATAGCACAAACAGGAAGACAGTGAGAGAAAGTGAGTTGACATGTAGAAAGCACCTCTATCAGGACCTGGTGCAAAGTGGGTGCTTTACAAAGGCTGTCGCTGTTGTGCGACCCTCCCCTGATACATGGTGGTGCACACCCCGACCCATCCTGGGGGTCCCCAGGCCCCTGCAACCTGACCTGAGCTGTCCCCCCAACCTGCTCCACCTAAAAGTGTTCCATCTTGTCAGAACCCCCACTGGCCTTCAGGTAGGGGGTCCCCTGCTGAGCAGCCCTGTGGGTGGGCTCCTTTCCCACTCCTGCACGCAGCCCCTCGGGCATGAGGAGCAGATTCTCACTCAGGAGCACGTGTGTGAGGGGTGTCCGTGCCTGCGGTGCTCCCGGCCTGGGCCCACAGGTGCTCGGTCTCCAAGGGCACAAAGAGATGAGTTTGTGGTGCCTGCAGATTGGCCCCAAGGGCGAGACTGTTTATATTCCTTTAACCAAGGAGGTCAACATGCTGTGTCTCCTCCTGCCCAGGATGCCTGAGGAGCTGCAGTCAATCAAGGCAGATAGGGAAACTGAGGCCAGAGCATATCATATATTCCTTTAACCAAGGAGGTCAACATGCTGTGTCTCCTCCTGCCTAGGATGCCTGAGGAGCTGCAGTCAATCAAGGCAGATAGGGAAACTGAGGCCAGAGCATATCAGGCTTACTGGAGGATGCCTGAGGAGCTGCAGTCAATCAAGGCAGATAGGGAAACTGAGGCCAGAGCATATCAGGCTTACTGGAGGATGCCTGAGGAGCTGCAGTCAATCAAGGCAGATAGGGAAACTGAGGCCAGAGCATATCAGGCTTACTGGAGGATGCCTGAGGAGCTGCAGTCAATCAAGGCAGATAGGGAAACTGAGGCCAGAGCATATCAGGCTTACTGGGGTCACACAGAGGCAGCGATGAGGGGTCTTGTGTCAGCCGCATCCTGGGGCCGCCCTCGGCCCAGCCAGCTGTCCCCGCTTCCTCTCTATGGAGCAGCTCGCCTGCCCCCTGGTGGCAACAAGGCCACATGGCACCCGTCCTGCTTCCCTGGAGGTTCCCTCCTTTCACTGGGCAGTTAGGGAAACTGAGGCCAAGGAGGAGCAGCAAGCTGTCAGGACTCACAATGATCCAGGCCTGGGGGAGAACTGTGGGTTCCTAGGTACTGCCAGGCCACTGGCCCTAATCTCGTGGATCCCAGAGCATGGTCCGCGGTTTCAAGTACATTCGAATGTGAGGACCGCCGCCCCACGTTATCTACTCCCCACAACTCTGCAAGCAAAGGTGCATGGTTATCCCCATTTTACAGATGAGAAAAATGAAGATCGGAGAGGTGAGGAAACTGCCCCCTGGCCACACAGCTCATAAGAGGCAGAACCAGGTGCAACCTGGTCAAGGAAGGAGAGGACCGGCCGCTGTGGTGACGCCACCTTCCCTTGGGGGGTCAGGACTCTTCTCTGACTCCTCGTCAGCGGTTACACCTCCAACCCCTCTCCTTCCCGACGTGCTCGTCTCTTGGCTGGGTCTCCCCGCTCATGGTTAGAGCCCCCGGGCTCAGCGTGGCCCCTCCTGCCTCCCCAACCTTCACGCACACCATGCCCGGGCCCCCGACTCCTTCATGACCACATCCCCCCCAGACCCACTTGGATCTCACATCTCACAGACGCTTCAAACTCACTCAGAATGTCCAGAGCCCGACTCAGTGCCTGCCCCATAAACCTGCTCCTCTGCAGGGCTCCCCTCTCAGCAGAGACCCCGCTGTCCACTCAGTTATACACACCAGAAACCAGCAGGCATCCTTGCTCTGACCTCTCCCTGTCCTTGCCACCGCCTTCTATTTTATCTCCTGAATCTCATGTCTCCCCACCTTTGGCTGCCACCACCCTAGCGCCTGCCCCGTTCCCTCCATCCCTCCACCTCACTTCCTTTCTGTTAGCCCTGCCCCTCCCTTCAGCCACCTGGCCACTTACCAGTTCCTTTATATGCCATGTTCCTTCTGGCCTCAGGGCTTTTGCAAGTACCAACCCACCTGGCAGCATCGTTGCCTGGCATCCTCTCCTGTCCCTTCTGAGCACTTGTCCCTGATGTTCCTTTGGGTTGACCCATTGACTGTCTCCCCACTGAACTGTGAACCAGGGAGGACACAGGCAATGCCCATTGTCCCCAGCCTCATAGACAAGCCTTCTCAACCCTAAACCCACCTGTGCCCCACGTCCCGGGCCCATGGATGCAGGCCTGGGTGCTATAAGGAATCTGGAAGCAGCTGGCCCTTATGTCTGCCCTGGAATGGATGTTGGGAGCCCCGCCTGAACCCACAGCATTGCCAGGTGGACATTCAGCCTCTGTCATCACCCTGGGACAGTCCTGATGGTGACAGTCCATGCCCACCTTGAACTCCTGTTTGTCCCCATGAGCCCGGCTGGGCCTTGGGGGCTGCATAGATGTGCGTGCTCGCTCTGTCTGGGACAGCTGTGCATGCCTGCAGGCTCTGACCACTCCAGGTGCCCCTCTGCTCCCCTCTGGGCTGTTCCCAGTACTGACACTTTCAGGCCATCAGAGTTTGGCTCCCTCACAGAGCCCAGGACACTCCTCCCTCTCTTGGCCCCAGACTCACAAGAAGGCAGCCTCAGCTCTGTGGGCGAGGGGGGAACCCCAGCTTTGCCTGGGACCCAAGGCAGCCCACTCGGGGTAGTCAAAGATGCTCCCGAGGTGAATGGCCTTAAATTCTGATCTGTGGGGGATCTGGGGACCCTCCAAAGTCTTTTGCTGCCTCATGAGACCTGGAAAAGATGGTTTCTCTTAGATTTCCCTTCACCTTGCTGTGCAGTGAAACTGTCATCAAGGTCTCCTGAGCTCCCCTCTGTTGTGTCTCCACTGCATGACAAGGATGGGGCTGCCGTGCAGGCCTCTGCCTCCTGTCATCCATCACCAGCGCCCTCATACGTAACTCAGGCCATTGCCCTTTGGACTTGGCTCCCAGGAAGCTCGGCCTGAAGTTCTGCTCTCAAGCACCGTCTGGATTTCCAGTGTGAATGTCTCCCTTGTACTCTCCCCACCACATCGCATGTGCCACCTCAAGTCCCTGCGGTGGCCTCCCCATCCCCTGCCTACCTGCCGGCCAGGGGGCTCATGCCTCCCAGCTGACAGGAGTGGGCCCTGTCACGTCCCTGTGCTGGAGGCGGGGCCCACAGACAATGCTGTCCGGGGACCCCTGGTGGGGACAGGGCCCGCCTCTCTGCGCCAACATCCTCAGTGAAGTTCATTGTCTCTGAGCTCACAGGAAGAGAGGTCGTGAAAACACCTCTCCTGACAGGAAAGCCACAGCGTTTCAGGTTCGTGACGAGCGGGGGTGAGATGGGGACGTGAGGATTCAAGCCTGTGCGCCTGGGGGCCGTCCTGGCCCACGGGCAACCGCAGGGGCTCGCAGGGAGCTGGCCGGCCCTGCGCCCCGATCCCCTCTGTTTCCCGAACCCCTGCCCCGCGCGGCTTCCAGCGGGTGGCACCCCTGCCACCCTACCTGGGGCAGGACGAGCAAGAGGAGGCGGTGACAGCTTTATGGGGGAGGTGGCATTTCAGGCAGACCTTGGGGGATGGGAAGGACTGGACGGGGGAGGACCGGGGGCCTCCGCAAGGCCCGCGGCGGGGCGGGGGAGACAAGGCGACGTTTCTGTGCGGCGTGTGTGTGACTGGGCGGCATGGAGGGCCCCGCAAACGCCCGACGCTGCCTTCAAACTGCATTGACAGGGCTGTGGGGACCCCGGAGCTGGGGCAGAGGGTCTTGTTTGTGAGTCCTCCGTCGCCACTGCCCCCCAGGTGGCTGCTGAGTCCACGTGTGAAGGAGGCACACGCCAAAGCTCATTTTAAGATGTGGATCACGCCCTTTAGTGTATATGGCCCGAGCCCCCGGGCCTGAGGGAGGCTCCTGGCTGGTCTGAGGTCGGGGACAACGCAGAAATGCGGCATCTGTCGGCCGCAGAGGTGGGGAAGGCCAACTGCGCCACCCTCTCCGTGCTGGCGGGGCTGTGTGGGGTCACTTGACCCCTGGCTTCTGTCTTCCTGTTCCCCCGCTCCCAGCCTTTCCAACCAAGGGGCTGAGGATGAGCAACCCACAGACCTGGGGGGCACTGTAGGCCCTGGGGAGACCGGGGGCTTCCCCCCACCCAGAAATGGGCCCTGGAGGGTGGGCCACCAGCCCCCACGCTGAATAGCCAGGCCACCTTTCCCAAGGGCCAAGACACAACCTACCCCGCATCAGTCTCTGAGATGAAACCGACGCAGGTGCCATGGCCACCACTCCCACTTCCTGCGAAGAGCCCTCCAGGTTGGTGTGGGGAGGTCTAAGCCAAGACCCTGACAGTGGGCAAGGTGGAGTGTCTGGGAGGGCTTCCTGGAGAAAGTGGGGCACGAGAGGGTCCTTAAGGGAGGCTCTGATGCAAAGGAGTCAGGAAGAGAAAGAAGTCACCCTCCATGTGCTAGACTCTGGCTCCAGGACAGTGCGGCCCTTCGTTTTGTAGTATTGAATTCTTTTTTTTTTTTCCTTTTTGTCTTTTTTACTGACCAGTAATGGGATCACAACCCTCGGTGTTGCGCCCGCACCGCGCTCAGCCAGTGAGCGGGAACCGGTCTCCACATGGGATCTGAACCCTCGGCGGGAGCGCCGCCGCGCTCCCAAGCGGCGCACTCTCCAGTGCACCACCGGGCCGGCCCTGTAGTATTGAATTCTTGAATTTAATTCCCCTGACTCAGTCTAGAGCATGGCACATAGAACAGGTGCTCAATAAATGCTTGCTGACTACATGGGTGAATGTGGACGCTTGGCCCACAGCTAATACTCTCTAGTGCGCCACCGGGCCGGCCCTGTAGTATTGAATTCTTGAATTTAATTCCCCTGACTCAGTCTAGAGCATGGCACATAGAGCAGGTGCTCAATAAATGCTTGCTGACTACATGGGTGAATGTGGACGCTTGGCCCACAGCTAAAGAAACAACTGAGTGGCCTCACTAACCCCAGTATATTCCACGTGGGTCAACAGCAACACTTATTGAGCACCCGCTGTGTACAGTAAACTGAGTTGGGAGCCGCATGGGGCACGGCTGTAAGGGAGGCAGCAGGTGAGCTGGGTTGGGTTTAGCTCCTGCCCCCGCCGTTCACTGGCTCGAAATGTGCCCTGCATTTCCCCACCTCCAAGCTTGTCCATGCCAGTCCTCTGGCCCTTCCTCTGCCTGCCCCTCCCTTCCTCCCTCTTGGGACACCCTCCCTGCCCACGGCACCTGGCTGTGCCCTGCTCCACTAGCTGCCCAGCCTGATGGTGAGCAGGGGCCGGTGCTGGTTTCTCACACACCTTCCCACTAGCTCTGGGCTCCTTTGTGGCTGGACTGCTCAGCACCTGGGGGGTTTGTTTCTGCTTTTCCTGCTGCTGCTTTGGCTGAGTCTTGGGGCCCGACTTCCCAGCCCAGGCTCCTGTTCCTCTTTGCAGCAAGGCAGAGTCTGACCCTGCTCCCCACCCTCAGCCTGGGGCTCCCCCTCCAGGGACTCCCAGCCTCCAGCTCCCTGTGCAGTTTTTTCCAAGGGCCAAGGAGGGGCTGGGTCCCAAAGGAAGTGGTCAAGTCTTCCCAGTCAGGTGTCTCAGCCCCTAACCAAGCTGGTGACTCCAATTTACCTGATGTATGGAGGGGTGGGATCTGCCCTTGAGATTGTAAAGCCCCCTGTGTATTGAGCATTCCAGAGCCTTGGCACTCTCTGCTTGTCACTGGACTGCCCAGAGCACCTCTCGGGGTGGCCATCCCCTTCTCCAAGCAGGCACCCGGGACTCAGAGAGGGGAAGCGAGCATCCCAGGGTCACACAGTAAATAAGTCAGGGCGGACCCTACCCACTCATCCTTCCAGAACCATGCAGAGAATCAGGGCCACCCCGACCCTCAGTCTGGCCACTTCAAATTTCTAAAAGTGCAGTGAGATATTGTATACCTCCCCCCCTCCCACAGCCCACCCAGCTCCCTCCTCCATTTGATTCTCTTTGTTAGTGGCTTCTCCGGCCCTGCTGTAAGTCCCTATCACTCACAGCCCCCTGAGTGTGCCTTACACAGCCCCGCCCCAGCCTGCTTCCCAGCCTGCCCTGCCTGGACCACCTCCCCAGTTCTCCTGACTGCCTGAGCCCTCCTCAACGAGGTCCCCTCTCTTTCTGGGAAAGTTCTTGTTTTCCAGCTGGCCTGGGAGGCCAAGAGGCAAGCATGGGCTCTCCCAGCCCCACACAGCCCACACCTCCCCTGCCTGTGTATCTCCCTCAGTTCCACTGGACAGCCCTAGGCACTGTTCCCCAGGGAAGACGTCCACACATTCTTTACTGTGCCCTGAGCCCTCCCCTGTGCCCAGCCTACATCCAGCCCTCAGTCTTGCCCTTGGGAGAATCTCAGACCGTGTGTTTGTTTATCTGCACAACAGACCACTGGAGTGGGCAGGTAAGAAACAAAATCAGAGAGGTTAACCAACTTGCCCACAGTCACACAGCTCACAAAGGCCGAGCAGGGACTAGAGCTTGTGCATTCTTATTCCCAGGGCTGTGTGCACACTTTGTGATCTAACACATGACACTCTGGGCATTGGGCATTAATCTCCTCTGGCTCACACCACTTTTAAACCTTCCTCAAGCTCTTCCCATGTTTTTCTGGCTTCTGGTTGGAAGCAGGAACCTCCAGGGTGCCCTGTGTCTTTACAAGAGCTAGAGAGTGCTGTATATCCAGAACTCACTCTTGGTCAGCACCAGGCATGGCACAGGCTTGACCTCCAGGGGAGCAGGTGCGAGGGGAAGGGGTTACTATGGCACCTGCAGGGTCAGGCCTCAGGGCCCCCAGGTAGGAGGAGATGGACTCGGAGCCTCTTCAGAACTTGGACTCCAGCACCCTGACCTATCCTCAGCTTGGCTCTGTCCACACCCAGGGGGAGACTGCATTTTCCCAAAGCAGCCCCTCCACTCCACTGTTAGAAAGTTCTCCTCAGCTGCCCTGGGATCAGTCGCCCTCCCTGCATCTGCCCCCTCCAGGGCTCCAGTGCCTCCATAGCAGCAATTCCCCCGCTGGCCTCCCTTCTGAGCGGGGCCGAGCTGAGCCCTTGGGCCCACCTAATCCTCTGAGGAAGGTTGTGTTATTATCCCATCACTGGTCAGGGAATGGAGCTACAGAGAGGGTCAGTAACCAGCATGAGATCACACAGCTGGTGGGTGAGGAGCTGGCACTGGAACCCAGGTGTGTCCCCTCCTGGCCTCCCTCTCTGGCCGCATCTCTGTCCTTGAAGCCAGGCTAAGTCAGTGCTGCAGGAAGCTCAGGCAGCCAGTGGAGGGGCCTGTTGCCTGCACCTCAGGACTTGGATGGAGGCCAGCCCATCTGGAGCAGGCTGAACTGCAAGTGCCTGCAGACCAGTGGCCTCCCGCCTGCCCTGCCCAGCCCTTTCCAGCACTCAGACCCTTGGATTTTCTCCCCCCCACAGAACCTGACCTTGCCCAGAATGCCCAATAACCAAGCACCAAGGAGGGTCCCAACACCCCCATCCTATGACCAATCCCGACCCTCCCTGGCCCTGTCCAGCCTACCCCATGCCAGAAAGCCCTAAACCCTAACTAAAGGTCCAGAAAGGGCCAACAAAGGAGAAGAGTGAGCCCCAGAACCCAGAGCTCTTACTGGATCTCCGTCTGGCCGCCTGCCTTCCGGGCGATCTGCACCAGCTCCTTTCCGTACCGCTCCTCCGCCTGGGCCCTGCAAGAACAAGCGTGGGTGCCGCATCGCCTCCAGGCCTGCTGGCTGCAGGGCCCTAACACATCTGTGGCAGAACCTCAGGGTCCACCTGTCAGCCCTTGGGGGCAGGCATGGCTCGGCCCACCTAATCCTCTGAGGAAGGTTGTGTTATTATCCCATCACTGGTCAGGGAATGGAGCTACAGAGAGGGTCAGTAACCAGCATGAGATCACACAGCTGGTGGGTGAGGAGCTGGCACTGGAACCCAGGTGTGTCCCCTCCTGGCCTCCCTCTCTGGCCGCATCTCTGTCCTTGAAGCCCAGGCTAAGTCAGTGCTGCAGGAAGCTCAGGCAGCCAGTGGAGGGGCCTGTTGCCTGCACCTCAGGACTTGGATGGAGGCCAGCTCATCTGGAGCAGGCTGAACTGCAAGTGCCTGCAGACCAGTGGCCTCCCGCCTGCCCTGCCCAGCCCTTTCCAGCACTCAGACCCTTGGATTTTCTCCCCCCCACAGAACCTGACCTTGCCCAGAATGCCCAATAACCAAGCACCAAGGAGGGTCCCAACACCCCCATCCTATGACCAATCCCGACCCTCCCTGGCCCTGTCCAGCCTACCCCATGCCAGAAAGCCCTAAACCCTAACTAAAGGTCCAGAAAGGGCCAACAAAGGAGAAGAGTGAGCCCCAGAGCCCAGAGCTCTTACTGGATCTCCGTCTGGCCGCCTGCCTTCCGGGCGATCTGCACCAGCTCCTTTCCGTACCGCTCCTCCGCCTGGGCCCTGCAAGAACAAGCGTGGGTGCCGCATCGCCTCCAGGCCTGCTGGCTGCAGGGCCCTAACACATCTGTGGCAGAACCTCAGGGTCCACCTGTCAGCCCTTGGGGGCAGGCATGGCTCCTTGATAAAGTTAAAACCCTACCCTTCCTGGAAATAAATGTTGGCCCAATACAGGCACATTTGAAAGGACATCAAAGGATTTGCCCACTTTGGGAGGAGGTCCAGGTCTGGAGGAAAGCAGGAGAGTCTTATTCCTGACTTTTTAAAGCAGGGGGTGCTCTGATGGTAGCTAAGCAGGGAGGGGGCCCCCTTGCCTCCCTGCAACCCACCCCGTGGCTCACCTCTGCCTCAGCAGCTCCTCCATGTCCTTGCACATCTTCCTGCCGTCCAGCAGCCGCTGCAGCAGCACCTCGTAGCCCGTGTGGGCCGTGAAGTCCCTGCACTGTAATGCAGGACAGAGGGACGCATGAAGACGGGGCAGTACTGAGCACAGCTGGGGGAGGACCACTACCTCCAGGAACAGCCTCTCTCCTGCCTCCTTCTGTCCGACTTGAGGTCAAGCTCTTGGGATTCCTGTGTGGCTCCACACAGGCACATGAGAGGTCCCCCTCCACATCTGTGGAGGTAACAGGTGTGTGAATGAGCCCTGCCCGGCTGACTGGGCTGGGGGTGCCGTGCCTGGCCTCAGAGCTCACAGTCCAGGACAAATCAACTCCAACACGAGACAGTGGATGCCCCCATGATGACAGCAAGCCCTGAAATTCATTCACTCACAGGGCACCTGGCACCATTCCTGTCACCTTCTCAATAACCCTATTATCTCAGCTAAGTGAAGAAATGGAGGCGCATGGGGTGACATGAGACCTTGCCCAGGTGACATAGCTTGGAAGTGGCAGGCCTAGCCTTAAACACAGGCCGTCTGGCTTGAATCGCTGCCCTTCACCTCTGTGTTGCCACAGCAGTTGCTGCTTCCTGGGCACCAGCCGTGTGCCAGATGCTACACTGGGCTGTGGCTCAGCTAATCCTCTCACACTGACCCAATGAGGCAGGCGTTGAAACTGACTTCAGTCAGGACCTGGCACACTCTAGGTCACCCTAGGTGCACCTCTTAACCAGAGTGGGGGAGAGGCGTCTGGAGAATTCCAGGAACAGCTGCCCTCTGCTGCCCAGCACTCACCCAGTCAGTCCTGGTATTCCTAACCAACCCGATTCTCACCCCTGGAGTGGATTCTGGGTGTGCGTTTGAGCTGCTGGTGTGAGAAGCGGGGAGAGAGGTAGTGTGCAAGGACTATGAGGGGACAGAGGTCTCCCAGGACACCTGCAGGCCTATGGAGCAGGTTCCAGGGCCAGGCTGTCTACTCCCAGCGCTCCTGGCCCTGCACGTGTGGCTTACTCCAGGGGAAGGTGTTGGGGCCTGGGAAGAGGCATCAACCCCCCAGGTGCTTGGCCAGGCAATCGCAAACCAGGCAAGCCCTAGTCTGTCTTCTTTTCTGTCCCTACAGACCCCCAAAGCCTCGAGACTGGGGAAAGGAGCCCCTGCTTCCCTGACTGCACATATCCCATCCCTTCCACCGAGCTCAGAGAGCCGGGGTCGCTCCCAAGGCCACGCACACTTAACCTGTCTCAGTCAAAACATGGTGCTCCTTCCCCCTTCCCCTGTCCCCTTGCCTTCCCTCAAATGCCACCTTATGTGTCCATGGGGAGTGGGGGGTGGAGTCAAAATCAAGGAGAGCTTCCTGCAGGAAGAGACATTTGAGCCAGGCTCTGGAAAGCGAAGGTGTTGTCCTTCAGGGTTTAAGGGGAATCAGACATGGGGGGAAGGATAGAGATGGCACACGTTGTCCCAACTGGCCCCACACTCCAGCCCACCCGCAGCAAACAGAACAGTGGACGCTGCAGGCCTGTAGGACACTTAGGGCCCTAAGCTCATACCCTGCTCCCTAAGCATCCCTAGAAATTCCTGAGGAGGACCTGGCCCAGGCTTAGCTGCCCACGGGGTGACAAGCAGGGTGTCTGGGCTCTGGCTGGCCACGCAGGGCCCCAGCAGGAGGAAGTGTCCCCCCAACCTTCCACAGGCCTGTCCTGGGGCAGGCATCTGCTCCCATGTCCGGGCCGACGTTGCTGGGCCAGGAGTGCAGCCCCACACCCAGCCCTGACCCTTCAGGCGATCCTTTCTATCCTTAGCGAGGCCCCCAGAGTGGAAAGAGAAGCGAAACCAAACCTACACTGGCCATCTGGAGGAGGTGGAAGCAGCGAGCGGCCCTGCAGGCTGGGTCTCCAGGAGCTCATGATCCTTTCTATCCTTAGCGAGGCCCCCAGAGTGGAAAGAGAAGCGAAACCAAACCTACGCTGGCCATCTGGAGGAGGTGGAAGCAGCGAGCGGCCCTGCAGGCTGGGTCTCCAGGAGCTCAAGTCCCCAAAGTGTCCAGCCCCTGCTCAGAGTCACAGCAGCACTAGCTGGGGCTGCGCTGGGTGAGCCACGGTCACAAGAGACTAGGTGTGACTAGGTTGTTCCGAGGAAGTGCCCAACTCCCCGGAGGCTGCTATCTATGCATCCTGGCCCTGCACCCCATCCCCCAGCCTGCGTCCTCCTCCGTCACCCCTACCCCGGCCTCCTCCTCTAGGGGATGGGTTCTGACTCATTGCTCAGAGCTGGGAGAGTCAGGCTCAGTATGCTGTTGGGGAAAAGAATGAACCAATCATTCTGTCAATTAATTCTGTCCACCACCTAAGGCCCAGCACCAGCGTTACCCCCAGGAGGCCCTCCCACCTCCCATCTCCTCTCTTGCCTCCTCCTGTCCACCTCAGCCTCCGTCACCTGAGTCCTGCCCGGGCCTTGCCCTTTGTGAAATCTCCATTTACTGCATCCACTGCACCAAGAACTGTTATTTTACTGGTAACGCCACAGACCCAAGGAGGTAAAGATGGTGATGAGGAGGCCCAGAGAGGGGCAGTGAGTGCCCAAGGTCACCCAACTGGCAAAAGGCAGAATTTGGGATTTGAACCCAAGTCGGCCTGTCCCCAAAGCCATATACCACATCAGTCATTCAGTAGACAGCCCAATAACAGCTTTCCATTTTCAACATCAAAAAATGATTGTAAAAAATATCTTTTGAAAATGATTACTCAAATTTTCTCCGCCTCAAATCAGAGCTGTGTTTTGGCTATCATCCAATCTCCATGGCTTCACAGAGGCCAGCTGTGTGCCCAGCTGGTCAGAGGAGCGCTGCCCGGGAGAAATAAAAAATATATTTTGAAAATGATTACTCAAATTTTCTCCGCCTCAAATCAGAGCTGTGTTTTGGCTATCATCCAATTTCCATGGCTTCACAGAGGCCAGCTGTGTGCCCAGCTGGTCAGAGGAGCGCTGCCCGGGAGAAAGGCCATTGACTCTGCAGACACACCAGACCACCAGCAAATGGCCAGAAGCCATGCCCCCGCCACGGGCACCTGGGGCAACCCACCCTGGCTAAGGGTGCCAGGAGGCCCACTCAAGCCAGATGTGGGACCCAGCCCTTGCCATCCATGGTGCATGGCCAGTCTGGGCTCCAGGTACCTCCCGAGGCCCCAGGGGGAGGTGCTCAGGAAAACTCAGGGCAGGAGGAAGCCCATTCTGTCTCAGCCTCGAGGCAAGGTAGGGAAGGTCTGGGTGACCTGTTCTGCCCGGGGACAGCCCAGTGGCTTCCTTCTGTGGGTGCGAGCCACTGTTCAGTCCTGTGAGCTGGCCCACACGTGCCCACCTGTGACCGTGCGTCCCCTGGTTGGGTAGAGAAGCAGCCTCTATTCCCATTGCCACTTCCTCCTTTCCTGCCACATCACTCTTGGTGGCTGCAGGGGCTAGGCCACAGAGATCAGGGCTCCAAGCAAGCCATTTCCCTTTGTGGGACCTGGTTTCCTCATTGTGGAGGTGGGCAGGAGGGAGACCTCTCTGCTGGCCTTGACAGCCCGCCTCCTAGGGCACAGCCCCATGAGGGCGGGCTGCAGGTCAGAGAGCGTGCCCAGACCCATTCGAGAGACTGCAAGGAGCTCGACAGGCTCGATGTGGGTTCACATCCCCACTGTGACCCCAGCGCTTCTCAGCCTCTGCCTCCTTCCCCATGACAACTGATAGTTCTCACCACATATCGATCTGGGAAGCAAATGAAATCATGCACACAGAGGAGGACACTGGACACAGATCAGAGCTCACCCTGAGGTGGGTACTGGGCTAATTATTCCGAACCCCACTTTACAGATGAGGAAAATAGAACCTGGAGAGGTTACCTAACCTGCCCAAGGACCCACAGGGCACAGGCAGGATTTGAACCCGGGTCGCCCAGGCCAGGATCTTGGCTCTTAACCTCCCATTACATCACCTCCCTGCAAAGCCCCAAGCACTGGGTCTATCACCCAGTGGCTGTTCAGGAAGTGGTAGCTCCCCATGCCCTGTCCCTTCCCACCTGCCTGCCACCTCCCCACCAGACAGAATCTCCCCTCAGCTATGGCCAAGCTGGGAAAAATCAGCCATCTTGACATTTCCTCCCCGGTGGCCCCCACACTTTCCTCCACCTGAGGGTCCATTTAAAAGGAAGCAGAACCTTTTTCAAATGCTCCCTTGTATGAAATTCCAGAATACAAAGTATATCAGAGGATACCTAAACCTCTAACCTTGGAGGGAGAGGCCTGGGTTTTAGTCCCAGTTTCCATCTGCCATGTCCAAGAATTGGCATTGAAATTTTACCAGGGAGCCAATAAGGGGCTATGGAACGTAGCTGGGAAGAGATGCCATGTAACTCTCTGTCCATGAGAACCGCCCAACAGGGAGACAGGAGCCCAAAAAAGCAGCTCTGTGAAGTGTGCTGTTGGGTGCAACTGGGACAGATCAGAAATGGACCACGGCAGGGAACAGAGTAGTGAGACATTCCAGCAGGAACAGGGTCACGAAAAACCTGCCCAGGTGCCCGGGAGAGAGAGCTGGCTTGTGTGCATCTGACACCTGGGGTACCGTCACCAGTTATTACAGTGCCAGGGAAATGAGACCTCCCCCACTTTAGAGTTACTGCTCCCACATCCCGCCCCGTCCATGGAGACACCAGAAGCAGCTGGCAGGGCAGCGTGGGCACAACACGGCAAGTGAAGACAGACCCTGTTCTCTTTCCCCAAGGCGGGAGCCTGGGGAGGTTAAAGTTGAAGGAAAGAGTGAAATTCTGATTATTAGGTTGGGCTGGACTGGGTTATACCTGGAAATGACTGGAACAGTTCTTGCATGTGCCCGGGGTGGGGGAGTGAGGTCTAACAGGGGCTTTGGAAGACAGAAGGGAGAAAAATTAAGTTTTCTGTTTCTACCCTACCAAGTTCAAAAACCGTTTTGTGAAAGCCAAACCATTCTCGGAGTGAGGTCTAACAGGGGCTTTGGAAGACAGAAGGGAGAAAAGTTAAGTTTTCTGTTTCTACCCTACCAAG